GGTGTGAGTTGCTCTCTTACAGCTTTATCTTGTTATTTCTCTTCTGTCTTTCTCTCAGTCCCTTTCAATAGGCATAATTTGCTAGGTACACTACTTTTGTACTGTTGCTAACTTCTCTGTATTTGGATTATACTCCCTTTGGGAAGCCCACACAGCCATCCCATGCATTTCAAAGTCAGTAGAGAGCCTGTGTGAATATTGCTGCTTTGGTGAATCAAAGCCCATAATATTGCTTGAAATCTGAAGCTAAAATCTGGATTATCCAAACCAGATAGTTGTCAAAATCCTGAGGACTGAAGCTTTTGAGGCAAGCTTTGAACTTTTTTTTTCTTTAAGAGCATTATCATCTGTGTGCATAATACTTGTTTCCTATTTAGAGAACAAAGGGGTGCATACTATCCTTCCATAGATAAACCCATCAGAAGGTAAACTGGGTCCCATTGTTTGAGTCTTTTCTTCATAAAGAGAGCACTTTGAGCCAGCCCAAGGGATGGGGGCATGGATGGGTGTGGTGTGTAAAATAAGTAGATTTCAATGGATTGTCTGGGAAATGCGAGCAGAAGTCACGTGTGCTCAGGAACAGTTATGTGCTTTGTAGCAGGCTCCAGGACCTCTTCCTGATATGTGACAATGGCTTTTATGAAGTCACAAAATCTGAACCTCATGTCTGGGCCCCAGATCCTTCCCTTCAAGAGGTATTACTGATGGTTTCCATTAGCAATGAATGCAAAGTTTCTAGTTTGCAGGTGGAACTTTTGCCACATTTATTGGTCCCCCTCTAACTCTTGGTCTGGAATGGGACCTCCAGATCACTAGAGCCCTAGTGCCAAAGGTCCCAGGGAAGGCTCCTCAGTTCTTCCCCAGGACAGATTAGAACTGTTTGCTGTGGGGGTAAGGCTACTCCTTCCACAGGCTCAGAAGAGGGAGGTGTGCTATGTAATGGAGGAGAGCATATCCTCAAAGAGTTGGGGATGTGAAATTTCAAAAACATTCAGCTGCACTAATGTTTCTCCCAGTGCTGCATATTACAGGAGAATTTTATATCCTGCTTGATATGAAGACAGACAGCTATCTTTCTCTGCACATCCATTCCTTAATAGACTACACTGTTCGGTCAGAGACTTCTTTCCCTATCATCAGAGATCTATGCAGGGGGGATGCAGCAAAGACTAGGTGAGCTGGGTGGAAATGTGAGTAGGATGGGACATGAGTGGGAAGACCTGAGACAAAGCCAGAGGAATTCACTTGTGCTCTGCCGACCTTCTCCAACAAAAGTAATAGAGCTTCAGTCTGCATAGCCCTGCTGAGGGCTGTTGTGGTCAGGGAGCCAGGCCAAAAGCAATGTAAATGAATGGAGTCTCCACACACCGATTGCCTTGGCCTTCCACTGAGCCCCTAGAATCCATCAGGCTTAATATAAAAAGGGGAACTTCCCCCCCTACTTTGAAGGAATGGTTTGGCAGAATCTTCAAAAAAAATTCTTGGGAAACTTTTCTTCCTTGGCTCTTTATAAGTTAGGAAAGAATTTGGCCTTGTAATTTTATTTCATTTTCATATTAGCGCTCCAAGGAAATGTTTCATATTGCATGTAGAACAGGGCTATCCAACTGGTGGCCCAAAGGCTGAATCCAGAAGAGTTACCATGTGGGAGGGACTGGAGTGCCCGAGCTGCACAAGCAGGAAAAGCAAAGAAGGGAACCAGGCTCCCTCCACTGCATGCTGGTGGATGGTGCATGCTCCCAGGAGAGGGAAGGGGTATTGTATCCACCACAGTGGCTAGGGTTGGATGGAGCCAAGCTGATGTGCTGTGGGGAGTGGAGGGGAGTGAACTGCTTAATTAGTGAGCATGTCTTGCAGGGACAGAGCTGGGCTGCCAAGCTTCCCCCCTTTTCCCAGCTGTGGACATTGCGTGTGCAGCACCCTACCCTTGGCTATGTGGGTTGTGTGATGGGATCCAGGACCCACCTGCCTGTACTGTGGGGGTGTGGGTGTGCTTCCTGCATGGCATGCACAGCTGGGAGGGTGAGGATCCAAGCTGCCCACACTCTGGATGCAGTGTGCAATGGTTGGGTGCCTCATGGTGAGGCACCCAACCTGGTGAGGGGGCTGCGGGTGCTTGACCCCCTGGGCGACAGTGACCACTGCCTGCTGGAATTCACCATTCAGCGCAAGGTGGCAAAGGCAAGCAGTCAGGCTGTGGCCCTAGATTTTAGGAGGGCGAACTTCAATGAGCTAAGGAGGATAGTTGGAGAAGCGCTGAAGTCTCAGAGGGGAGGAAAGCCGGGTATTCAAGGGGAGTGGTCGCTCCTTAAGGAGACGATCCTCCAAGCCCAAAAGAAGGTAGTCCCGATGAGGATCAAAGGGGGCAGGAGAGCATACAAGCCTCCATGACTCACCAAAAACATCCGGGAATGTCTCCTTGCTAAAAAGGAGGCTTACTCCCAATGGAAAGGAGGGGTCATCACCAAGGAGGACTATTCGGCAATTGCTCTGGGGTGTAGGGGGGTAGTTAGGAAGGCCAAGGCAGAGATGGAACTGGGACTAGCTTCCCGGATTAAGGACAACAAGAAGTCCTTTTTTAAATACATAGGGAGTAAAAAGAAGGCCCCGGGTAATGTGGGGCCCTTGCAGGACGCGACGGGGAATCTGGTTGTCACACCAGATGACAAAGCCAACATATTTAATGATTTCTTTGCCTCTGTCTTCCTCAGTAAGGACCAGAACTGCCACCTCCCTGCTAGGACCCCATCGGGCCCCGAGGGAGGCACACCTGAGCCCAAGTGAAGTGAGAATCTAGTTAGGGAGCTGCTGGAGGGGCTGGACATTTTTAAGTCAGCC